AGAACACTGTCTCGACAACAAATGAAGCTTGCAACGTATTGCGGAGGTTGTACAGGTAGTGGTGTTGGGCAGATACGACAGCGTGACCTACAAACGTCGCTAAAATAAACACTTCAATTCAGGTATGCATTTCACGAGGTGTTTCCATATTTTTGTCCACCCCCTGTACGTTTGTGTGCTTGCCATCATTCATGAACCACATCAGTTCTCTGTTCAGGGATCCTACTATTTTGAATGTTGAACACCGATAACAACACACATAAAAATTAGGGTCTAAATTCAAATTTATTGTAAGGTGGCAGCCAGGCCTACCTAATGTAACGGATTTGATAAACGCGTTGCCAGGCAACAGCTCTGTAAACACATTTCCGCGTATCGGACCGTGCTATGAAAGCGGTGACGTCATCAACAATAGAGGCGGTGTTTTCCATGGGGTCTGTGCAGAGATCTTATAAGATAAATGAATGCAGATGCAAATTCAGGAAAATATAAGAGGCTTAAACTTGTCGGTGGTCAAGCTTACGGCCGTTCAAATGACTAAGCTGCCGTTGTAGCATAAGATATGTAAGTTAGACATGATCTGCTCTGTAAAGCCTGTACTGACAGAAGACTTGTGTGTAGTGCAAAAGGAAGAATTTTCAATAACATGTTATGTGTGCAAAATATACACTTGCCGAAAGGCCAAGCGTATTCATAAGAGACAAACCCATCTTCTCGTCAGAGAGGATGTTACATAAGGACTATTACCGCAACAGTTCAGTTGGAAAAAGAACTCTGGTTGTGGGCCTCAAGGGGCCTGATGCCAAGACGAACTGATTGGCGGTAAACCGCCAGTCGTAAAGTAAGTCTGGCTCTGGCTCTGACTCTGACTGTAAATTCAGTGCAGAGCAGTTACGAGTCAGTCGTCAGCTGGAGGAGTGAGTACAGGAGAATTTTTAGTTCCGAGGTTCCAGAGTGACCGAAGACGAAATAGCAAGACGACTTCACAGTGATCTGAAGTGCTAATTCCTATGTTGAGATCCGTTGCTAGGAGACGGCTAGTGGAAACTGAGAATCAAGTGCGTGTGCAACGGTGGACTAGAAAGTGTGTAAATCATCGATAGCGCTGTATTAATTGTAATTAAGAGAACTTGTAAACGAAGTGANTGGCCTACTGACCGTCGGTCGCAAACTGAGACTGAGACTATTACCGCAAGAGTTCAGTTGGAAAAAGAATCTCTGGTCGTGGGCCTCAAGGGGCCTGATGCCAAGACNCTGGCTCTGACTCTGACTGTAAATTCAGTGCAGAGCAGTTACGAGTCAGTCGTCAGCTGGAGGAGTGAGTACAGGAGAATTTTTAGTTCCGAGGTTCCAGAGTGACCGAAGACGAAATAGCAAGACGACTTCACAGTGATCTGAAGTGCTAATTCCTATGTTGAGATCCGTTGCTAGGAGACGGCTAGTGGAAACTGAGAATCAAGTGCGTGTGCAACGGTGGACTAGAAAGTGTGTAAATCATCGATAGCGCTGTATTAATTGTAATTAAGAGAACTTGTAAACGAAGTGATAATAAATCGAATCATCCGAACTAGAACCCGTTATTTTCGTCACGCTAAGATGCACCATTAATTGCCGTTACTCTAATGCAATTTTTAGCAATTCATTCCTTTAGCCTCCGATAGCAAGGACAGGACTTATCAAGTGTCTTGCTATAGTAAGTTACTGACTAGACACCAGAAGGCAGCAAATGTCGCTCCTCTCTGGAGTATCGATATAGATATGCATCGACTTCTCCTGTCTACATAGTACACAACAGATGGCACTATAATCGTATACTCACTCAACCCCGGTTTCGCAAAAGCACAGAGCAGCAGAGTCAGTGAAAGTGTGAATAGAACGTTACCGTCCTGTAGGTTTTCGTATTCGCTTTATTCTGTGTGAGAGGCTATACAACTTCTATAAGACAGCTGTCACAAAAAAAAAATTATATTTGTTCGTATGAATTCGCTATTAACACGAAAATAAATACATTTTAAATACATAAACGGCGCCCAAAATCTATATCGAGTAGACGATGTCTCTGCTTCTTATTTAGGAGGTCCCACGTTCAAATCTGTGTTTGACGGCCGACTCTTCCGACTGATTTTTTTTTTTTTTATAATTTCCCCCCGTTCCAAACAAGTGCCTCGATAGTACCTCAAATTGGGCCACAGCCGCCGCTCTCTTCCCCTTCATTTATAATTAATTACTAATTAGCTAAATGTATAAGGGGTGGGCCTTCTAGGCCCTTGCACCGCGACCACAGTGATCTATTGTCGTTACTAATTAGTTACGCTAACCTCTATTATCACAGGCCTAGTCTGAGCTGACGACAATATCATTAAATGAATCATAAATAAACATGTATATAAGGAACAAACTCCGTGGTCTGTAGTCTGCAAGCGAACTATATCGACCGACCGACCGACCGACCGACCTACAGCCGCTTGTCGGCGAAATTAGTGCCAACTTTGGCGGATAGAGGGTGTCGCGTGGTCAGCGCAACTGATCCCCACGGTCGTTAATCTCGGTTTTCTAGAGCGGAGCCGCTATTTCCTTGAAATAGCTCCTCAATTATCATCACGAGGCTGAGTGGACCCGTTCCAGACCCACTACTTCTCAGAAAATCTGGTAACTCCTGGAATCGAATCCGGGACTTCTGGAACTGTAGCCAGAAACTGTGACCACTTTACCACATAGGCGGTCACAGCCTGAGAAACACTATGCAATTCACCACTAAACAACCGATTTATATCTTTTTTTCAGTCACAACTTGACCATTTATACAAGTCGGTATGGTACAATAGGCTAGAAGTGGCCGCAGCACAAGGGACTTAGTCCGACCCCACTAGCATTACAAGTCGGTAGCTCAGTTTTTTCAACACAAACACTGATACATTTTATGAATTTCATTAATAAATTCGGCACTAACACTACATTTTCCCTTGAGCATTTTGAAATATTTCCTTGTTAATACTCAGCTGGACCAATTCTAAGTGGTCTCAAATGCAACAGAAACCCACTTTTAGCTATAGTTTTTGCAGATAATTCCTCCACCGATGCTGTTGCATACATTAAAGCATAATTTAACTTAATATGCGCATTATCAATAATGAATGTTCGTTATTGGCAACGGCCGGGACTGCAATGCCACTCGGAGGGATCTGTCTGTCACTTACATATTGCCATTTATTTAAGGATGTTGTCAGTAACTCAGCCTCTACAGCGTCTGCACAAAGACAGAATTGCAAGCTCTGTGCTTTTCATGGATTTGCTGGAATGTCGTTTATAAAGCGGTCGCAAGTAAATTAATAAACCGTAGAAAACTTCGTTGAGTATTTTGTGTCCTACATTACAGGGCGCATTCTTTCCCATCTCGTTTCTCATAGTACAGTATGCAAGGAAAGGTCTGGCCACTACACAATGAAAATTATAAGCAAGGTACATAGATTTTGTCAGAAATAAAATATATGCCTACATGTTGGTCCGGAGTCCGACTTTTGTGACGTGGTTCCTTTGTTTCCTCAGTTTCTCTAGGCAGACTGTAAGACATTCATTCATCAGTAATCTGTCAAGACGACAGGTCCACAGTCTCTTCCCAAACAGTTCCTCCACTTAATGCGATCTAGAGCTTTCTCCTTCAAATGAGAATATCCTCTTCTGTCCCCAAGGTCATCCAGCATCTTCTTACGTCTTCTTCCTCGTCTTCTGGTCACTTCTATCCGCCCTCTGTCTTTCCTTCAATAACTTCCTGTCTGAGTAAAACATCGGTACGTCACACTTTCAAGAAAAGTTCTGTGTGCTCAAGCGGTATGACTTTGGTTCCCGTTGTAACCGTATGTCCCTCGCTGAAATTATTTAATTAAGGGCATGACGAATTTATGCATTGTTTCACACCCTGCAAGACGCTCCTCCGGTGAGATACCATCCCGGGACCGTCTAGTTGTAATTCAACTATTGTCTTCGTTAGGCTTAGGGTGTCACTGTTGTCCCTAACGTCGCCTGTTTGCTCCTAGTGTCATAAACCCATGTGCTGGCATTGTACGAGACCGGCCAGGAGGGGTCTTGGGTTCCCTGCTCGTGTGCCTTGAAGACCTAAAAAGGTTTATGAGCATCTCGAAAAATGCGAATGTAGGCCAGATGCCGGGCTCGACCCTTGGCTTTCTCTTCTTATTTCTCTTGTTTTGTTTTACGCCCACTGGGGAACTTGTAAAGAGAGGGCAGTCAGTTACAGGGAGCGGAGGAGGAGGGCTGTTGAAATTTAGACAGAGAACAGAGAAGTGTTTTACAGTAGGGGTAGCGAGTAGGATGGACGGAGCGGCTAGCTTGGAGGACTAATGTAAAGATTGATCACTGCACGAAATTTTAAATGAAGACTGCAATACACGGTGTGTTCTGGAGCCCCCGTAATTCATGAACCCCGAAGTGTCTTCCACTCCCATATCCCTGAGAAGAAGACCCAAGCTCGAGCGACAGTCGTGGCAGATGTACGTCGGAGGTTGGCTCTGCCGTCCTATGTTGAACACAGAAACTAGTAACTTTCGAATGATGACGTTACGCCCTACGTCATTATCTTACGATGACGCGATGCAGAATATATTTTAGACACAGCACAGTAGGCCAATTTTAAAAACAGACATGAAATGCTTCCTTCTCATTTCTTATTGTTACTCTTCTGACTGTAATTAACATTAGAATCAAACTTACTGCCTGAACCACAGTATATTTAACAATGGCTATATGAATTCACTCCTTCATATCCTGTTGTCCCGTTACTGAAGCGACAGAACATGTGAATCATCCTTAATAACAGGTTCTTCTTGTTCTTGATCGTGGCTTTTGCAGACCGCTACGGCTTCAGAGGACGTGGAGTGCGGGGGGGACAGAACTGCCGGCCAGCAGAGTCCTCGCAACCCTGCAGTAAGGCGAGCACTTTACAGAGGAGCACTCATGCTTGCTAAACTCAGCGCGGTGTTCGCGTACTCCGCTCTAGTGTGGTACTTCATGGGCTTCATGGTCCTCATTCAGCTCATCCTTGTCGCCATTGTCGCGTACCTGGCGGCTGGTGGGAGCTACCAGTGGTTTTACGTCGCTCTCAGAACACTTCCCAGGGATCTCAAGTAAGTACAAGTTAGTGGATCTTCTCCTTACCAGTGCCCACAGTATTCAGTGCGTAGCAAACGGACTTGACATTTTTGACGTGCAGGTGTTTGCATGTTGCTCTGAGAAGAGTTTTCAAGAGTGTGACGTAAGTACAGTTAGTAGCCCGTCCTTCCAGCCCATGTCAGAATCGGCTTCTTGTAATCCCCCGAGTACTGAAAACGGCTGCCCTTTGTATGTGGGGTTTCAGAAACCTGTTACTTTGTCCAGTGTCGCTTGTCCTTCTGGTTGTCCGGGGACATGGAATGTTTCTCGCAGAGATATATATAGAGGAATTATGTTTACCGTCAACATAAATACTCAGTTTTAATTTCGATCTGTTTCTCACAGACTTATTAGGCATTTACCTCATTAAGTTATTTTTTTTTCTTGGCACTGCAGCCCCAGTGGGCCTAGGCCTACCTCCATGAACTTCTCCTTTCACTTCGGTTTTTCTAGATCTTACTCATTCGGTAGGACCCCTTGGGCGGGTGATCAGCTCGTCGCAAGGTCTCTACCTGTACATAAACACAGAAAAACGCACACAGACAAACTAAACATCCATGCCCTGAATGGGATTCGAACCCACGATCCCGGCTTCCGAGCGAGCGAAGACAGTACATGCCTTAGACCGCTCGGCTACCGTGACCGGCAATGTATAAGAATAATATATAGAAATTCAGTTCGTACCTCACAGGAAACAGATCCGAAGCCACGATCCCGGCTTCCGAGCGAGCGAAGACAGCGCATGGCTTAGACCGCTCGGCTACCGTGACCGGCATTAAGTTACTTTACAATGATATAAATACCCAGAAGCCACAATTATGCGATATCTCGTAGTAATATCATTACAAGGGCTGTCGATACAATAATAGTAGGACTTGTATAGTAATAGTTGTAGTTGCAGCGGTAGTAGTGATTGCTTGTGACCTTCTGAACGAATGAGGCCGGACCAAAATAATTTCTTCACCCTTTACCCTTGAATGCCAATATTTAAGGAAAGACAGGAACATTTGTGTTATCACTTACATGTTCAGATTTGTTAAGAGTTTATTTTTTTCGTTATTTGAAACCCTTCTTGGCAACTTGAGGCCCATTCATGTTGTCACAAACATTTTAACACGGGCTAAGCTCCACTGTGACCTGCGGCTAGACATGTTACTCCTCTCGGTAGAAATATATTGCCTCGACGGATCAGAGGAGGTGCTTCAACAGAGATGTGTGTACAAGTACCAAAATGACAGTTTCTATTGTGTAATGCGCAGGACCTACTACATTCCTCATATGTCATTTAGGTTCTTTGATAATGTTGGGGACAGAGATGGACATGACACTCACTTAGACTGCCTTTAAATTCGGTTCGACCCTTCTTCGTTGACTTCGTTCCATGTAAAGCAGCTGATCAGCACCAGTGCTTAAGTGATATTCTTCTCTAATGTTGTAATATTTGATCAAGTCAAGGAGGATGAGGTGGGCAGGTCATGTAGCACGAATGGGGGAAACGAGGAATGCGTATAGGATATTGGTGGGAAAGCTAGAAGGAAAGAGACCGCAGAGAAGACCAAGGCGTAGGTTGGTGGACAATATTAGAGTGGGTCTTAAGAGATATAGGATGGGATTGGATTGGATAGATCTGGCTCAGGATATGGACCCTTGTGAACGCGGTAATGAACCTTCGGGTTCCATAAAATGCTGGGAAATTCTTGAGTAGCTGCAGAATTGGCGGCTCCTCCAGAAGGGCTCAGCTCCATAAGTAAGTAATGTAATATTGTCTTGAAATCATTGTTAACTCTCCATAGTCCCAGACTCAGCATGAGGTATCTAAGAAAGACTGAATCGCATTCATACTGCTGACTTGCCACTCAGAATAAATACACTCGCAAGCAAGGACGCAGGCACGCACTGGTCAAGCAATCTTATTTAAACCCCACACAAATAAATAACATACAGATGTGTTAACACGTGCCTTTCTCGCGGTATAGTCGAACAAATCATTACCTGCATTGAGAGCGATAACAGTGGACACACACAAAAACACACACACGAATACGCAGTAAATTCTTCGAGGGCCCTCATTCACTGTCCTTGTAGCAAAGGAACAGACCCCGGAGGGAAAGCATAACATCTATTTAGCGACATTAAGTAAAAGCAACTTCACAGAAAAGTGAGTTAAGTCCATACCCGTGACTGAAGGCTGTCCCTGAACTTTTTGCAAACTCATCAATTTTTCTGCGGATTTTGAAAAACAGATCTGTGTCATACAAACTATAAACAACAAAGAGATATATCAAAGTACTTTTATTCAATACTAAATGCAGACAAACTAGAAATTCATATATGCTGAGGCGTCAGAAGTTGGTGGGGGGTCAGCCATCCTGGCCCTTAACGACGGGCCGGTCCTGTCCTGAGTACTGCTGCTGCTACTAGCGTAGTTGGTTGAGACACTATGCTACAACCCGGAAGGTTGCTGGTTCGATTCCCAATGAGGTCTTTGTATTTTCTCAATTGACGTAATCCTTCCAGACGCATTATGGTCCTGAGATCGACTCAGCCTTTAACAGAAATGAGTACCAGAAATCTTCCTGGGGGGGGGGGGTTAAGAGCGGCCGGCGCGTAAGACTGACCTCACCACCATTTGTGAGCCAATTGTCTAGAAGATGTGAGAGCCTCGACGTCTCACCGCCTTATGGGCATCCATGGTCTATTACAGGGACAGCTTTCCTTCTTTTACCTATAGAATGTGTTGTAGATTCATGTTATACGAGTAACGAATAGCCAAAAGGCCATGAAGACGTATCCCTGAGCTTAAGCACAACGTCATTGAAATCTGTGGGAGTCTGGGCAATACATCCATCAATTCTTAATCTCGACATTAGATGAAGGTGAGAGGCCGGATTCATGTTTCGTCGTTGTTCCCCCGGGGAAATAAACTTCTGGTACCTCATGTTGGGCGTGCTCCAGATTCGATCTGGACGCGGTGGAGAAGAGACTGTTTTCTACCTCTTCAGTATCTATTAATTACAGACTAATATAGGATATGTTTTCACTTATTTTGTGATTTATTAGATCATATGCAAACCCAAATAAGAATCGATACATGTACGTACGAGTATAACATAAGGTCTTTCGGAACTGTTAAGAAATGAATGATGAATGTTAACATCTGTTGACAATTCAAGGAGAAAGCTCATCATATGTTATATAAGGTTTCGTAGCATAAGCTTCACCCGCTTTTTCCATATTCCTTTTCATTCTTTTGTTATCGAGGCATATGTCGACTCCGACGCGTAACATTTTCGACGAAGACGAAGAGAAAAACCAAAAACTGATGCCGGAAGCAGCGTCATCAGCAGCGACTTGAAGCACAGAGCAAATGATGCTCCAGATGGTTCAAGTTCGTATAGCAACAGGCGTGACCAGAGTGGTTTGAATGGCTGCTGTACTGCGATGTGGAAAGCAAATGGAAAAACTACCACATTATCACTTTTCCTGGATAGTATCTTTCCAAAAACAGAGATACCATGTATGCGAGATCCAGAAGACGAGGAAGAAGACGTAAGAAGATGCTGGATGACCTTGGGGACAGAAGAGGATACTGTCATTTGAAGGAGGAAGCTCTAGATCGCATTAAGTGGAGGAACTCTTTGGAAGAGACTGATCTGAGAGATTACTGATGAATGAATCAGGCACAAATACTCAATAGCAAAGAGCCTTCTTTACATAGCACACTACACTTCACACATCCACGTCAATCAGTGAGAGCATTAGTCCTCGCAGAATAAACACGATAAACAATTAAATGAATAGTCGATAATTCCTGATCGACTGCATTATTTGCCTTCATTCAACGTGTTAAGGCTCTCCAGTGCATTGTTATGGTAACCCCGAAATTGCACAATTTCAAAGCCTCCATCTTGCTATTAGGTTATTCTTTCCCTAAATACAGAAGGATGTGATTTGAAACTTTCACGTAGACTACGTACAGTGTCGTCTTTTCGGAGGAACGGCTGTTATAAATATCCTACGTTTCAGAGTTTGTCTCCGTCATCGGGAGTTGATTGAGGAGGGGACCTCCGAAACTTCGGTCACTATATATTCACATGGTTGATCCCCCACGAATAGTTAATCGCATAAATGTAACGTTAAAATGAAGAAATGTAATATTCAAATTAATGAGGTGTGTGAAACGGTTTGCCCCGAAAGGTAATTTACAGCCAGTGAAATAAGCCGTGATATTTAAATTGCAAGTTGCTAGGGAGGACGCAGTCATGGTCTATTACGTAGCATTATTGTAATTGAGGAAGACCACTATAGAACGCAGCACACACAGCTGAATTGGTGTCAAGCGGCTCGTTTTACAGCTACTGGACGGCTGTGCACATAAATTTACAATATGCTGCTACGTTTCCGTTCACCCCTCGCCCACCCCCACACACACACAAACGTATTCATTTGATGGTCTGTCTTGTAGCCACTGAGACCGAGGTAAGGGGCAAAGGTTGCCTCTGTATAATTAAACTTTACGTCATGAAGGCGTAGGGGGACGTAGAGATATAGCTTGATCAGCTTTCAACCTGAACACTAGTTCAAAATTAGCTATCAGCTTCACGCTTTGGCCCACTAACCCCCGGAGGAAGTGCTCCTGTGTAGCAGATTGGGTGGAATGAAGATCCGTCCTGGGAATCGTGGCGAACAAGAAAATCTCTGTGCCTACCGAGACTCGAATCCCGGTTGTCTGAGACATAGTCATTCATTATAGTGACACTGAGCTGGACAGTGTGAAACGACTGCCCGGAGGTAGTTCCACCGAGAGTTAGGAATACAGGAACTTCAGTATTTTTCTTTTAGTTGCTTGGGGTGTGGGGTGAGAGTGGCCACTTGGTACGTCGGCCACTAACTGGCCTATTGTACCAGCCCCGGTTGATAGATGATGATGATGAATGTGGAGCAGTTGGTGGAAATAAAATTGGCAGGTAAAACCGAAGTGCTCGGAGAAAACCTGCCTTAATGCCACTTTGTCCGCCACAAATCTCACGTGACCTGCCCTGGGATCTAAACCAGGCCACCACTGTTGGAAGCCGGCGACTAACCGCTTGAGCTTTGGCGCGGCCTTAACTTAGTAACTTACTAGTTGTCTTACAGGGGCATGAAACTGACCACTCACCTCCAGCTAGTACCGAGGTCAAGAAAATATGGATCTATACATCCACTCCTCCATACGCCATCATGGAGTAGCGTTTAATTCGTTAAGCATACGGACAACTGTACCTTACTAGTTACCTTAACGCCAACAACTTCGACGTATGAGACCAATTTCTTGCCTCTTTAAGACATTTGTGATATGCACTGACTGCAGATAACGCACCATATGATGTCTTTATAACATTTTGCAAAGTAACAGTAAAGTTGCCCCCGTGCCTGAGCACCGAGACGTATGAAGACGCAGGATTATAATTCCGTGTATCTCCACGGTAACGTCAGATATGGGCTTCTCTCTCTGCCTGAAATGTCCCTCTGTCAAGACTTCACACTGCATGCCATGTTTTGCCGTGTTTCCTCTCCACCACAAAGAGAAATTTCTAGCCATTTACACAGCTGCTTTCTCCATAGCCGTGGGTTATAACGGTGCCCTGTACGGATGTACTAGCCTGCAGCTGTTCGCTAGCGAACGGGCCGGCCACCCTTTTTTCAAGGTCACGCAGTAGCTCATTCGAGAGCATCCCACTGCGGCGTCCCGTGTTAGATGCAAGATCAGGCTATGTGGGATTTGTGGTGAACAAAATGGCACTGGGACAGGTTTTCTCCGAGCACTTCGATTTCTCCTGCCAATTTTTATTGCAGCAACTACTCATATTACAAATATTATGTTTCTGGACATTATCCATCTCCCTGTTTTAGACGAAAGCAGGACTATGCGTAACGTCCAGAAATATAACATTTGTGCTCATGTATCATCGTCACAAATTTTCAGATCTTAACTGCTCCACACTCATTAATCTTCCTATAATCGGGCTATGTAGTCTCGATACTGACAGCGTCGTTAAATAAGCAACTCTTAACTTGTTAAGAGCAACGCATGTGAAGTACAGCCCAGCCACACGAGCGCATGAAGTACATACTTTGCAACGCACGTACTTTATGACGGACGTTGCTGAGGACACCACACAGTTGCAGAATGCGGTGCGTAGTTTTTTTTTTGTCTGGAATGGAGGCAGAAGAAAGCGTAGCATTCGCCTCTTGTTTATTTATATTTAAAATCAAGGAAGACAAAATGGTGGGTTCATCCCAAAAACTGTGTGAGACATCGCGATGGTCACTTCTACACATTGTACATACCCCTACGAGAGGATTCTTCAGAGCTTTTTAATTACTTTAAAATGAAAGTGAGCACGTTTGATGAACTTCTGTCTCGCGTTCAAGAACATTTAAAGAAGAGCGATAGTAACTTGAGGGCAGCTATGAAACCTGAAGAAATGCTGGCTATGACTATCGGGTAAGTAAATAATTACACTCAATATGTAGATTTATAATAGAGGTGTTTAATGTTCGAATACAAAACCAATGAAAAAAATTGTTGGTATTTACATTGATAAGGCGAGAGCTAGTGAGTTACAACTGAGTCAATGCAGCTGAATCACAATCACTTCAAGCCTCCGTGTCCGGTGAAAAGTTTTAAAATGATGAAGTAGCCGATGTATTCGATGGAGGTCGCGATGTATAGCCTTGGTAGGGAGGAAGGCTCGGAGGAAATGATCGGGCTTGTTTTAGGTTTTGTAGAAGTTTCATACTTTCCATCCTGAATGTGAATTTCTCATTCGGCGTCAGTGATTTAATAGTGGGCAAAAGAGAGTAGAAAAAAGCTAAATCTTCATCTTCTTGTGGCGTTGCCTCTTTCGTGCTGTGACTTTCCATAAATGTAATGAAACTACGTTCAACATCCGTTAACTTTCTTTTACGCGAAGATGGGAGTTGTTGAGGGGGAACCATTGTTTCATTGGCGGTAGGAGTACGGTAGCCTTCTTCAGTTTCGCGATTATCTCCATGGCATTCGTTTTCGGGTGAGTCCGGTTGAGTGTCCATGGTACTACATGTTGGTCTTGGTTCCAAAGATTTCTTTAGAAAGGATAATTGCTCGCCGTGGATGTATGTTTTCACTTTCTTCGCTTCGGAACCTAATTTTATGGATTGTTTTTTTAGGTTTCTAACGTAGTTATCTCGTACTGTTCTCCATTTCGATACCACGTCTCGTACTAAAACAGCAGAACATTAAAAAAATTTAAATTGCTTATATCATGTTTATTTTTAAATTAGACAGTCTGGTTTTTGATATGCGCTAACTTCTTTTTTTTTCTTGTAATTTCTTCCCTTTCCAGGTACCTTGCAAGTGGATGCAGTTTCAGAGACCCACATTGCAGCTATCGAGTCGGTAGATCAACAGCCAGTCAAATCGTATGAAGAGTTTGTCAAATTATCTGGCGTGTACTGAAAGAAGAATGTTTTCCTACTCCAGATGAGGACACATGTGGTAGAATTGCGCAAGGTTTTCAAAATACAGCATCTTTCCCCAATTATCTTGGGGCAGTTGACGGCAAGCATATCCGTAAAGTTAAACCTGAACGAAGTGGGTTGTTGTACATGAATTACAAACATTATTTTTCCAATCAAGTTCCTTCCGTCAAATGTGACACTTTTTTAAGTTTTCCACCTCGTCAGCACCTGCCTTACATGTTTCGGCTCACCACGGAGCCATCATCAGAGGCATTTATAGTAGAAAAAGAAATCACCAACACACAAAACTTCACTTTGTCCAAGATAGCCACGTTCCAGTTAATTAAAATAATTACAAATAGTTAAAATTACCCAGAATGTCG